TTCAGGAACAGAATTTGAAGATTTTCGGGCTAGCAAAGGCTGGTTCGAAAAATTTAAGAAAAGAAGTGACATTTTAAGTGTTGTTAGGCATGGTGAAGCTGCTAGTGCTGATAAAGAAGGGGCAGCAAAGTTTTTAATTGAATTTAAAAACTGATGGAAGAAGAAAATTATCTTCCACAGCAAGTGTTCAATGTTGACGAAACTGGGCTGTTCTGGAAAAAGATGCCCAAAAGAACATTCATCACCAAGGATGAAGCCTCTTTACCTGGGCATAAACCCATGAAAGACCGTCTCACTCTATTGCTTGGTGCCAATGCTTCAGGGGATTTCCGACTGAAGCCTATGTTTGTCTACCACTCTGAAAACCCCAGGGTGTTCAAGCAACAGAAAGTGGTAAGAACAATGCTTGGAGTTTATTGGAAGTCCAACCGTAAGGCATGGGTGACAAGACAGTTCTTTAATGAATGGGCTGTTGATGTGTTTTGCCCCTCTGTCAAGAGCTACCTAACCACCAATAAACTTCCTTTAAAGGCTCTTCTCCTCATGGATAATGCTCCTGGTCATGACCCTGACCTTGCCAGAAAATTGGAGTATAAATTTGACTTTGTGAAAGTGTTGTTTTTGCCTCCAAACACTACATCACTCATACAGCCAATGGACCAGAATGTGATCAGCAACTTCAAGAAGTTGTACATGAAGAAAATGTTTAGGAGGTGTCATCAGGCAACTTCCATTGATCCTGAACTAACACTGAAACAGTTCTGGAAGACACAATTCAACATCCTGGAGGCTGTAAAATTGATTGTGTCATCATGGCAAGAAGTCTCCAATAGAACCCTCAATTCTTCATGGAAAGCACTGTGGCCATCAGTAGTCCATGATTTTGAGGGATTTGAGGATGACACAGAGTTGGACCAGGAGATTGTGTCCATTGGTCAGTCATTGGGTCTTGAAGTGGAGGAGAAGGATGTGGAAGAGCTTGTGATGTCTCATGAGGAGGAACTTACTCCTAATGACTTGAAGGAACTGGATGAGATGTTACGGGGTAGAGGCTGACAGTGGTGAGGAGGAAATTGAAAGTGATGACCATATGTCAGCTAAACAGTTGAAAGATGTGATTTACCACTGGGAGAAGTTCAGGGAACTGGCTTCAAAGCACCCAGAAGTGGAAAAAACTGAACTAACTTTGTGTCATGTTGAGGACTCAGTGGTCTCCTTCTTTAAACATAAGTTAATGGTGAGGAGGACAGATGCCCCACAGACCACAATTGACACTTTCTTCAGTAAAAGGCAGAGGGAACAAGATGCTAGCCCTCAGCCTTCCACTTCAAGAAGGAGAGAGGATGTTCATGGTGGAGAATCTGTCAGTCCAGAGGTTCCTGACATTTTCATGGAAGGTGACTCACCTTCCAAGAAGCAGTAAAATGCTTCTCCTCCACCTCCACTTCCTTCTCTTCTCCCTTCTCCTCCTGCACCTCCCACTTCAAATGCACATCATCACCATCATCCAGGAACCTTCTACATACACACCTCAAAGTAAGTAAATTTTTCCGCCATTTTTGTTGAAGTTAGGAAATTTTCGGTGAGCTGGAACCAATTACCCAAAAACCCATTGAAACAATGGTTTCGGTTAACGAACGTTTCGGTTAACGAACGACCTTTTGGAACGGATTGAGTTCGTTAACCGAGGGGCCACTGTATATATATATATATATATATGTATGTATGTATGTATGTATATATGGATGTATGTATGTATGTATGTATGTATACGTACAGTATATATATATAATCTCTTTAGTCAAAGGAGATGAAAGCCAAGAGGTTTGCACTTTGCACTGGAGTTAATATTTCAACTATCATCAAGCTAAATGTGCATTATCTTAGTGAAAGCCAACTACAAGACAACTGGCTAAATGCCACCATTTTCAGTAATTGTGCATTACCTACAGTACAGTGCAAGTCAAACTAAAAAAAAAAAAAGAAGGCATTTTCCCAAATTACATGCCAAGACCGACTTACTCCATTACAGACAGTTGTCTGTAATGGGAGAGATCAAACAAGATCACTGTCAAATCTATTCACTATGGAATCCTCATACTAAAGACTGAAGGTGTTTCAGGCATGATGCCTTAAACTATTAGGGGTTGTATGATATAAGTAAAACATGGGAAGGCTCCCTTTTGAAATATTTCTCATCTGTGATTTTCTCATCATAATAATATATAAAAGAATAAGCCTCACACTGACGGCCAGTAAAAAAATACTAAAGAAATACATCTTAATAGCAATGGGATGTAATGATCTTAGCTGTTTTTTTTATACTCAACATAAATCAAGCTGCCAACCCTATTACTGCCCAACATAACGTTACATTCATTTTATATCTTAATACTAACCTGTAGTCAAATTGGGATAAAAGTATCCCTTTCAATCATCCACAATACAGTATATGATTAATCAACTGGCAGTGAGACACTCTTGGCTAACAGGGTTATTATACTTTAAAGCCCTACCATTAGTTTAGAGTCAACAGTATTGTAAGGGAAATACAGAAGACAAAAGGAGAAGTACTATTAGACTGGTCCCACACTCTGATTGGAACTTTTAAGATTCTACCAGAAGTACTGTACAGGTACTCCTCGACTTACGACAACCCGGACATACGACAGCCGTTGTCGTATAAAATATTTTCCAAATTACGTATTTTCTAGTACCGACGTTAGTGATCGCGCTGTGTACTGACAAAATTTTTGTTTGTAATTCCCTTTAAAATGGCTGGCAAGCATAAAAGTGAGAGTTCTCGTGGTGCTGAGAAGAAAAAGAGACACCCATTTTAGAATTTCAATGTATTATTTTCGCATTTTCGACTTACGACCTGGTCGTCGGGACGGAACCCCGTCATAAGTCGAGGAGAGACTGTACTTATAAACTGGTCCCACACCCTGACTGGAACTATGAAGAAAACCCCCCACTTACTATTTTATTATCTCTTCCTTAAACTTACCACTCTTGTTGGAGTAAAAATATATCTATAAATATATATTTGTATATTACATTTTGAGACTCAGGAATGAATGCTTTGGTTATAATTGTGGTGATGCTACAGTTCAAAAAACTGCAGGACTTCAAACAAGGGTTTTCCCACGAGTGCATTACATAACTTGTGGTCAGTGTTTTCTCTGAACGAACTGCCATCAAAACATTTTCTGTGAAGAGAGAACACATTTTCCACCTCCATTACCTCTGTTGAATAATGATGGCTAGTAAAAAAGCAGTTAGCATGACAAGACCATTCAGGACCACCAAGAAATGTTTATGTTGTTGCCAAAATGAGCAACTGTGTTTCTTAAGTAGCACACGAGAAAAATCCTGCTGAAAGATCTGCATTGCACAGCCCCCAAAATGATTTACTGTTTCTCTCAGTCTAAACCTTTGTAGTCACTTGTTTAACATAATGCACGTCTCACACTCACAACTCATGAACTTCCCTCTGCCATCTTTAAATCTCTGCTTGTATTATTAACCAATGATCATGAACACAAAACTGATACATATAGTCAAAAGAAGAGGTTCTCTATATGTCCTGAATATTGTAGAAGACAAATAAAAAGAGGTGAATGTAGTTGGGGACTCCTTTCCTACACATTACATACCTATAATAATGAATGGGAGCCTTGGGTATAGGAGGAGCCACATCAGCCACCCTCAATAGACCTAGTAGGTGGTGTGAGAGGGAGAGTGGAACAAAAAAAAGGTGTGAATGATATATGTATAGTATACAAAACTGGAAGTGGCAGATGTTTATGGGGTGATTGAGTTGGATATATCTGCAACGTTTGAAAATCTTCCATGAGATGATGTTAATGATGTGAAGTCTGGTTTGTTTGAGGATGATGGCAGGAGCAGCAAAGGAGTGGAACTGTTAAGAAAAGATTAATGATATGAGATTTTTTTTTTTAAGTTAAATTTTCAAATACAGGTTGCAAAATTTAAAGTGGGTATGGTAGTGATATGTGTCTTGAAATTCTTATGCTCCAGGCAATGTTAGGAAGGTCAAGTGGGAAACCTGAATGGGTGGAGAGGTTAACAGAATGAGGAAAGAGGTGATCTGTTGGCTTAGAGTTCCATGAGCAAAAGATAATGAAGTGAGGGTATGTGAACTGTGGGCATCACTAGGCCTATGAGTGACAAACATGATCACTCAACATAAATGGAAAAATACGTACAGCATAGTATAGGCAGAAGGGAAACAGGGTGATACTGTCAATGCGTCTTCATCTGGAAAAGTAGTGGTTGTAATGTAAGTTCAATGAATGTCTCAGGTGGTGGTAACTTATCTGATCACATGTTGGTAGAGGGACATGTAGAACCAGAGTCAAAGAGAGCTCAAACATGAGGCACAAATAAAAAATCAAGCTGACAAGTTGAAAAATAAAGGTATGAGCCAATTTTTAGAACACAATAAAGGAAATATTAAACTGTGCAGACTTTCATCTAATGAGAGAGATGCATTATAAGGACACATGAAGGATGCTACACTGGAAGTTACCAAAGAGGTGTGTGGGAGAGTAGAGATTGGAAGAGAGAATAAGAAAAGTGGTGAACAATTTCAGATTTGCCAACTGTCACGTGTTAAATAATGGTGTTTCAGAGAAGTGACAGATCTAGCCTGAGGGCAGGAGAATGGAGATGAACAGTGACATCATTCACATGACTCTGACCTATTTACAGTATACTGCTAATGAATATGTTGTATTTCTTTGTGTACGAACCTCTGTCCTGAGTGGCAGTGAACAGTGACATCACCCACATGAATCTGACCTATATATACTGCTAATGAATATGATGTATTTCTTTGTGTACGAGCCTCTGTCCTGCATGGTAGTGAACAGTGACATCACCCACATGAATCTGACCTATATATAGTGCTAATGAATATGATGTATTTCTTTGTGTACGAACCTCTGTCCTGCGTGGCAGTGAGAAGTGATACCACCCTAAGTGTCAAAACCTGACTGAATTACTCAGAGTAGGCAAAATGTACTAAAAGCTTTGTCAATAAATTTGTTAAACTAAAAAAAAAAACTGGACAGTCTGAGAAATATGATATATGTTGGGGAGATTGATAATATTTGTAGCAGTAGGGCGGTGTCTGTAAAATGGAATGAACAACTACTAAGAAACAAATAAACAAGTCCTATAAGTTATAACAGAAAGGTCGGAGATATTAAAGAGGGGGGAAAACTCAGAATGAGATACTGGGATAATTATTGTGCACTGTACATAGTGAAGCTGTTGTGTATATGATGTTGTAGGTGTTGGTGGGAATGTGATCCATGACTCAACTTAATAACCCACAGACTTGACATGGTATACTGTATATCATAATCATTGTGACGATCAGGGATGATTCACTTAGTGTATTATGTATGCAAGGTAAGGGTAGAAGGAAGGGTGTGTAAAGTGTTCCTAATTGTTTTTCAGTTTCTCCCTGTTTCTCTCTCCACTTTTCTTGCACCACTCTCACTTCCCTCACACGTTCCTCCCTTTCCTGAGGTTTAATTTTCTTGATCCATCCCAAGCATGTGGGAAAGGAGGAAAATTTAAGACTATACATAACTCTTCAATACATTTGTGCAGAAATTAATGAGACTATCAACCATAATATTGAAACACAGTACATCACTGTGGCTGCTGAAGTGCCTCTCCGTGTAAGTTTCATAAAAGGGAATGTCCAAATGTTTGGAAGAGCACAAGGTAAACAGTGGTCAGGGCAAATATATATTACTGTTGCTTACAGCCATCCTTGCTGTTAGACTTCTCCTTTGGTGGCTTTATTCTGTGGTTCTTCTCCAGGCTGGCTGTGCGACGCTGACCTTGGATGGGCATGTATGGTGGCACTGGGTAGTCATCATCATCATCAAACACTGTAAAGCAACATAAGAGAATATTGTACATACACTCACACTGAAAATTTTGACCTTTGAATCTGGTGTTTAGTATTTCACAACACATTCATGTTGCATTCCATTACTTTATCTAATATATATCTGTTTAAGAGTTATTCTCCTGACAGGGAAAAGTGTTTAGAGTTCTGACAGATGGGAACACTGTCTGTTTCAATGAGAGAATAAAACAGAATGGATTAAAGTTTGTGAAGTCTCACGTTATTACAGGGAAGAAATAAAAAGATGAGGCACAAGATTATTATGACTTTGCTGAATGATGCCTATACAGTACAGTAGAACCTCGATAAACTGGATTAATTGGAGCAGACCCCAGCCCGAAAAAAAGCGAATATATGGGGGAGATGGGTGGAGGCAACACTGCTTATCTGAACTGTTTAAAGAAAATCAGTTGTTGTCATTGTCACATGTCGGCCCACACCGCTGTCTATGATTGCCTAATTAGGTGATACCCGAGAATGACCAATGTCAATGAGGGTGGTTCAAGGCCTGTATGCTTATATAAGTTTTCTAATGTTTTGATTTACGATGTTTTTTTATATCAGTGTTATTTAGTTTTGGTTGTTAAAACATTATGTAAGAACCATATTTTGTTTTATAGGGTATAAGGTGTAAAACTTTTAATGTATTGTATTAGGATTAGTTGACAACCAAGCCATATTAGTGTGGTGGTAGTGAGGGTCACGGCAGAGCCACCGACTGAACCGAAGAGCACCAAGAACCAGGAACTCCGGGCCTGGTACAGTATATACACGCCGACTAGGGGTACAAGATAGCCGCCAAGTTGTGCGTGAAGTAATTGGAAATATTTGGACATGAAAACTTGCTCTGTGAATGTAAATAGTGTAATATATGTCATTTTTACTCGACGAGTTTCCATATGCCCTTCCTCTTGGTCTGAAAATCCTGTGACAACTGACAATGGTGCCCAACCCGGGATACAGACTGAGTGAAGGCATTGGAAGTGCAAGGTGAGGACTAAGTAACAGTAGAGAAGGAGACATTTCGACTATTGAAGGTCACATAAGGAATGACGTGTTTTAAATCAACTAACAATGGATCTCGAAGAATTGAATCAAACTGGTCGAGACTTGGGGTATGATGGAATTGAATTGAAAGAGTTTGTGACCCAACAACAATCAATTCTAAAAGACGAAAGACAGCAAGAGAGAGAAGAAAGAAGAAGAAAAGAAGAAGAAAGAAGAGAAAAAGAAGGAAAAGAGTATGAGTTAAGGAAAGCAGAACAGGAATTGGAATACGAGATCAAAATTAAAGAAAAGGAAGTAGAAATTAGAGAAACGGAAGCAGTGGAAAGAGAGAAGGAACGAGCCGAAAAGGAGAGAGAACGAAAACATGAATTTGAAGTGCTTCAGTTTCATCAGGACATCCCCGAACCCAGGCCAACTCTCCCTTATTATTCAAAGCCAAAGTTACCCAAGTTTGAGGAACAAGTTGACTACAGTGATGCATATATTGAGAGGTATGAAAGGTATGCAACTAATAGTGAGTGGCCGATAGATCAGTGGGCAGTTAATTTAAGCTCTCTATGTTACCGCCACAGTAGGATAAACTCGAAGAGAGAGGGATAGAGAGAGAGAGAGAGAAAGGGAGACAGGAGAGAGAGAGGCAGAGTGAGAGTTTATAACGAACTTTGCTGAGGTGTTACCGGTAAATGTGAAACAGATGGCCCTCGCCTCAGGGCTGACTAACTCGTTCCCTGTGGGGTTCAGAAGATAGTCTCTAGCCGTCCAGTGAGCTAACAAGGCCTACATTAGACCCGAAACACGTAAGTTTTTATATGGTTTAACACCCCACTCTACTCAAATATATCATATGTAGTTGTTAATAGTGAAGGAACGTACGAGTGAATTAATTATCTCATATGTAACATATGTAATTTGTACTCTGCAGGTTTTGACCGAATAAAGAACGATCGAGTCCTACGTGCAAGGGTCTCATTATCCCACAGTCGCTCACCAGGCGGTTACACTCAACTTACTGGTAAAGCTCTTCAAGCTTATGTTGCCTTGTCGCCAACTGAAGCAGCGGATTATGAATTGGTGAAAAAATCTATCTTAGAAAGATACATGCTCACAGAAGAAGGTTATCGTTCAAAGTTTCGTGACTCGGTACCGGACAAAGGAGAAAGTGTTAGTCAGTTTACGTCTCGCATGATTCGGTTTCTAGAACGGTGGATAGACTTATCGGGAATCGAAAAGACCTTTTTAAAAGACTTAAAGATTTGATTCTCCGTGAACAGTTCCAGAGATGGTGTCACTTAGAGTTGCGACTATTTTTGAAAGAGAGAAAACCAACAATCAAAGCCATAAGGGAACTGACTGAGACCTACTTAGAAGCACACGGTGGTCCTATGTGGAAGACTTATCAGCCTAGGCATCAAAAGGAGGGAAGAACACCCTGCCCAACTACAACTGAAGCAACTCCAGACAAGAAGCCATCACCAACTTTTCCAACACTACGAGAAAAGGTTGGTTTCCTGTGTCATAAGAAGGGTCATATAGCAAGGGATTGTCAGGAGGCTCAAGACAGCCAAGGTCGAGCCAAGGAAGAAAGAGCGGCAGCTTGCCTGTCACAGTCACCCCAGGATCAGACTGTGCTTCTGCCATCTGGTGAGGTGGTACCCCTGATTGTTGGTGTGGGATCGATGAAAAACGACCTGGAGACTACTCGGGGGTATGTCGACGCCCATGAGGTAGAGGTACTCCGCGACACCGGCTGTACAGGGGTGGTGGTCAAGCGGCGCTACGTTCAAGATCATCAGTTGACAGAAGGCAAAAAGAGGTTTGTACTATTAGATAAATCAGTTATAGTTTATCCAGTAGCCCAAGTTTATGCTGACACGCCTTATTTTTCTGGTGCTGTGAAGGCTACGTGTATGAATGATGCCATATGTGACTTAATCATTGGGAACATTCCTGGAGCTCTACCAGGACTTGTGAAGGTTGCTGAGGCCCCTACACCATTAATGGTAAACACTGGTTCAACCAGGTTTAAGGATATTTCTCCCACTTCGCCACCAGCAGTGACAGAGAAAGTGCTTCCCAGTCCCTGTGTAGTGCCGGCCATGTCGTCGTCATTTCAGGAGAAGAATGAGAGTCCTGAACCCGGAGACATCTCTACCTCATGGTCATCTTCTGGTGTGAGTATTGTACATCGCCGGGTGGTTACATCTACGGAGGCGGTACCAATAGCGAGTGTGGAACAATCTGTTTCCGCATTGTTTGGAGTGGATGAGACAAATGCTTCCAGTCGAGGAACAACACCCACACACTTATCAAGACACATGACCCAGAGCCTGGACTCGATGAGTAGAAACCAGTCTACAGATGACGTAGAAGAAGAGAGGGCTTCAGCGTCTCTGCTTGTCACCGGAGCAGTTCAGACAAGGGCACAACAGCGAAACAGGAAAGAGTTTAAACCATTATGTATTAGTAAAGTAAAATATGCAGTTAATAACGATTCTACCATTACAATAGAAGAGCAGGAGAGGGATGAATCCCTACAAAGATTAATTAGTAATTCTGTAAATGGGAAAATAAGGCGAGTGAAACTGAAGGGATAGTGGTACAGACTTCAGGTTCGCAAATATGGGGAGGAATTTGAGCAACTTTTATTACCTACGGGCAGACGAGACTATGTACTAACTTTGGCCCACGAAGCTTTGATGGGTGGTCTTTAGGGGTGAAAAAGACTGAGGATAGAGTTCCGAGTTCATTTTACTGGCCAGGAGTTTAGAGAGATATTAAAAGATGGTGCCATAGTTGTGATAGGTGTCAGAGGACAATACCTAAGGGGAAGGTACCTAAGGTACCCCTAGGGAAAATGCCCTTAATGTCTATCCCTTTTCAGAAAGTTGCAGTAGATTTGGTCGGCCCGATCAGTCCACCCTCTTCCCAGGGGAATAGGTGGATTATGACTTTGGTGGATTATGCAACAAGGAGGCCAGAGGCCATAGCTATTCCAGGGATGGAGACAGAAAGCATTGCAGAGGCTTTGCTAGCTATATTCAGTCGAGTTGGGTTCCCCAAGAAATTCTTAGTAATAGGGGCTCAAAATTCACCTCAAATTTAATGCAAGAGATATGTAGACTCATAAGTATTAAGCAGTCATTTACCACACTTTACCATCCGATTTCCAATGGTTTATGTGAAAAGTTTAACGGCACTTTTAAGTGAATGTTGAAGAAGACTTGTCAAGAGCGCCCGTTAGAGTGGGACAGATATCTTTCAGCAGTGCTCTTTGCTTATAGAGAGGTACCACAGGCGAGTACAGGATTTTCACCGTTTGAACTACTCTATGGTTGTACAGTTAAGGGCCCCCTGCGTCTATTGAAAGAGGTCTGGGCTGGAGTTGGTGAGGATCCACAGGTGCACAACACCTATCAGTATGTCATGGAATTGAGAAACAGTTTGGAAGAGACCTGTAAATTAGCTCAGACAAGTTTAAAAATCATCAGGAGAGAAGTATAAACATCATCATGACAAGAAATCCCAAAATAGAGAGTTTGATGTAGGAGATAAAGTTCTGATATTGTTACCAACAAGTTCTAATAAATTACTTTTGAGTTGGAAGGGTCCATATACAGTCTTAGAGAAAGTAGGGTATTTTGATTATCGGATCATGTTAAATGATGTCAGATCTAAAGTCTTCCACGCTAACTTATTAAAGAAGTATGAGTCTAGACCCAGTGAAGTTGTAGCTGCTGCCTCCGTAATACCAAGTACTATAATGGAGGAAGATGATTTGCTTGATTTACCTGAGGTGAGAGGAAGAGAGTTGCACAAGGATGTCATTATAAATCCAGGGTTGTCACTCGAGAGGAAGGATAATCTACGAGAGTTATGCGAGGAGTTTTCTGATATTTCCAGGTTGTACAGTTACAGTAAAGCACAAGATAAAATTAATAATAGAAGGCCCAATAAGAGAGAAGATGTAGTAGAGAGAGAGGAAGAAGCAATGCTGGAGGAAGGGATTATCAAGCATTCAAACTCAGAGTATTGTTCACCTGTAGTTCTGGTTGGTAAGCCTGATGGTTCATTACAGGTTTTGTTAATTATAAGAAACTCAACAAGGTTACCAAGTTCAATTGTGAGCCAATGAACCGACCAGAAGACATTTTGACTAAGCTTCAAGGGAAAAGGCATTTCTCTAAGACAGACCCGAGTAGAGGATTTTGGCAGGTGGAGATGGAGGACGACTCAAAGCCTTTAACAGCTTTTGTCACAAATGGAGGATGTTATCATTTTAACAGAATGCCATTTGGGCTTGTTAACTCACCAGCCCTGCACTTCAACAACTAAGGTCTTGTATAACAAGGTTATTAAAAGAAAATGACATCAAAAGTAAAAAAAATAAGAAACAGAACTCCCTGGGTTGAAAATCAGACATACAGTAAACGTAAAAAATATTTTATACGACCATGGTCATCGTATGTCCGGGTTGTCGTAAGTCAAATATGTCGTAAGTCGAGGAGAGATTGTATTGAAAAATGCTTAGCCCTGGGTGGATCAAGTGGAGGAGCATATTATAATGCTCCTAATAGTGGCGTTGTATGACGTCACTTATCTTTGGTCAATGAAATATTAAAGAATCGAAGAATAATACAAAACAAGCAATACTCAGCCAGCGAGAAATAGAGTATATGATGTAATGCATGAACATGTAGAGTGCAGCAGTCAGTAAATTAGCCCATCGACCTTAGAGGGTCAATTATTGTGATTTACTGTGAAACATTTCTCTCGTCATGGTCATAACCCCCCCACCCATTTTTCTCAACGGATCTACGCAATTTGCGTGAATCACCTAAAACGATGGAAAAAGAAAAACCGGAAGGAATGGAGAAATCAAATCCCTGAAGCATCTTACCGGATTTACAAAAATATCAATACTAATAATGGACCAAATGGTGAAATAAGTTATACGAGTTAGAATGATGAGATGCCTACAAAGCAAATTTCAAAACTACCAAGTGATCAGAGAGATCAAGTAGGGTTTCATGGCAATACAGGTGTCATCTGTAAGTACAACTCAGTTACCTTCAATGTACTTCAACTCCATCCAACCACAAATCTGTTCTCCACTTTCCCATCCCCAAAATGTTCAACTATACATTCAAAGAGTAGTTTTCCCCCTCACAACCAAACACCTTCAGTTTAGTTAAAAGGTTTGCTCTTGTTGTCTCACTTCATCTTCATCTCTAGTTCTACATTAATTCTTACACTGCCAGGTACAACAATAACAAATATCATATTAAAATGGTATGGAAATCTTGATCTACTCAATTTACTAAATATAATATGAATACAAATTAATTTAGGGTAAGTTTTGTTTCACCTCAGTAAGTTACAAATGTAGTTGATGAGCACAGCTACATTATATATAATTATTTCATTTAACAGTATTGTACGATAGATACCTGGAGGTGGCAGGGGTGAGATTGGGGATGTCAGTGAAGCTGCAGCCAAGCCTCCGGTGCCACTGCTGGTTGTGGATGATGACGATGATGACTGTGGTGAGGCCAGCTCTCCCCGCATCACCCGACGCTGGTATGTTGGGTCAATAGCACATGCAATATTTGTGAACCCCATTGCTGGGCTCTGTTCTATGCTGCTGCTGCTCTCACCAGCTAGTTCTACAGCAGGAGCTTCAGGGTCAGGGAGTCTGGAAGTAACATCATTATTGACCACTTATTGAAACAGTCTTGTTTAAAATCAATATTTTTTTTAACCCTCTTCACTTAATTTTTTCCCTTTTTCTTTAGGAAATCTTGATTTTCATAGAATTACACGTTTTACTTCGAGAAAGGGCAATTTTATTTTGGAAAAATTGTTTGCGCACGCACACACACACAATATCTTCTCATTGTTTCATGTTAAGATAAATAGCCAATATCCTTATCTACAAAAGAGGATGTCATGCAATTTTCAACAAAATAATTAAATTTAATTCTAACACATCTGCCATTGTGATCAAATACTGTAGCAGCAAAGAAACAATCCCTTTAGATTTTATATTCGCTTTCATTTATACAGTACATATTAAACACTGAAATCCAATTGTAGGAGATAAAACACAGTAGCTGTATTTCAACTGAAAACTGAAGTCCTCTTCACACTGCTGAAGGGGACCGTAGGTTACAGAGCATCAGCGTCAAATTACCGGCCGATCAGTTTGACGTCAGTAGTGAGGAAATTTCTTAAATCAATTATAGCAGATAGCATCCGATCGCATCTAGAGAAAAGCAAATTAATCTACGACTCTCAACATGGGTTTACAAAGGGAAAATCTTGTCTAACAAATCTGCTAACGTCTTTTAGGAAAGTCTTCGAGGTAGTAGATAATGACGAAAATTACGATGTTATTTACTTAGACTTAAGCAAAGCATTTGACAGAGTACTGCATCAGAGGCTTCTGAGAAAAATTAAGGCTCATGGTATCGAGGGGAAAGTTTTAAATTGGATAAAATCATGGCTCACCGATAGAACGCAGAGGGTCAGCATATATGGTGTTACATCTGAGTGGGGCCGTGTAACCAGTGGGGTTCCCCAGGGGTCAGTACTAGGCCCACTCTTGTTCATAATCTACATAAACGATCTAGATACTGGGATCAGCAGTGACATAAGCAAGTTTGCGGATGACACCAAAATAGGGCAGCAAATTAATTCAGGGCAGGATGCAAATGCATTACAGGAGGATCTAAATAAACTGCAGGGGTGGTCTGAAAAATGGCAAATGAAATTCAACACCAGCAAGTGCAGTGTACTTAATATTGGAAGAACAAATACTTATAATGTATACAGCCTTAACAACATCAACCTAGAGAAGTCGACTTGTGAAAGAGACCTAGGGGTACTTGTAAGCCCGGACCTAGCCTAGAAAACAGTGCGTTAATGTTCGAAATAAGGCAAACAGAGTATTGGGTTTTATATCTAGAAGTGTAAGTAACAAGAGTGCAGAGGTCTTATTGCAACTATATCTTGCGCTAGTCAGGCCGCACCTCGATTATGCGGTTCAGTTCTGGTGCCCCTATTATAGAATGGATATAAATTCACTAGAGTCGGTGCAGCGAAGAATGACGAAAATGATTCCGGGACTTAGAAACCTTCCATATCAGGATAGGTTAAAGAAACTTAACTTGCATTCCCTAGAAAGACGAAGAGTGCGGGGAGATATGATAGAAGTATTTAAGTGGGTGAAAGGAATCAATAAAGGGGATATAGATAAAGTTCTTATAATATCCGAGCAGGATAGGACTCGGAGCAACGGATTCAAGTTGGATAAGTTTAGGTTTAGGAGGGAGATAGGAAGAAACTGGTTCACAAATAGGGTGGTGGACGAGTGGAACAAGCTTAGCAACTTTGTAGTAAGTGCGGGAACTCTGGAAAGTTTCAAAAGGAGGCTAGATAGATTCATGGATGATAGAGAGTGGTTAGTAACTCTCGACAGGAGCTGCCATGCACAGGCCAACCGGCCTATTGCAGACTCCTTATTTTCTTATGTTCTAATGTTACGGTTGAAAGATACAATGGTCTAGTTTTTCTGTGTTTTATCTTCTCCAGCTGTGAGATTTCAGTATCATGATTTATGTGGTACAGGTATTACATAATTTCATCAGACATATAAAACCCATCCATATTATAAGTGATAAACTCACCAAGACCCTGTTTTGAGATAATGGTTTTTAAAAGTGTTTTACCTGTTTCCACCATGTAGTGCAGACTGCAGAGGGTATACACACACTGAATATATGGCAGGAAGAAGAGTCCATTTGACAAACTGTCTTATACTGTACTGGTTGAAATTTGAAAAATGTTTAGTGAAATCAAATAAATTGAGGAGGTGCAGAGTTGGTCTCTTCTATTCTAGACGCCTCAATTATTAAGGTTAACATTAAACCATCTTCTAGTTTCAACCCCGTGATGTGAAGGCTATGCGAGTCAATATACTTAATGTGTATTGAATGAACAAAGTGAGCACAACTAAGAACATCTGAAACAGTACCATGTACAGTACCTTGGTTTATTTGTCTTGCCCACAGGGAACTGGCGATGAGCGTATCTTGATCTCTCTAGGTGGGGAATGGCGTAAGAAGAATGTGATGGTCCGGGCAGGTCAAGTGAGTTGGGTCTCTGTAATGGCCTTCCACGAGGAACTTGCCAATCTACATCTGATTCTTGTCTCGGAGAATCTGGCGATATGTAGGTGGGGCTTGAGCTTGCATAGTCTGTGAGTCCAGGAGATTCTTCGTGGGAATAGCCAGAGGGTCCAGGTTGGTCAGAGGTTGGTGGGAGTGATACTAGAGGTGAGTTGCTGCCTCTTCCATTCTGTAAAATAAGACAACACTTGGTGAAAAAAATTTCTAAAGGCAGTCATTTAAACTACACCAACCAAAATTATATAATACAAGTGTGGAAAATTGCTGTAAATCATTGAAGTTGATGATGAATATAGAAAAATTTTTTGAGAAAGACTGAAGAGAAGAAACATTATTGTTGTAACATTTTACATGGCCTTCCATGAGACAAGGTCAGATCTTGATGTAAGCAATTTACACTTCTGGGTGCAGAGCTCGAACCGGGGCCATCACAGTTGGTAGTCAGGCAGTTAGTCCAATGGACTACAATGGGTTAAAAGCTGCCCCACCCTAACTACTGTACTAACTTGTAACTGAAGGTTCTCGCTCCCCACTGTGGGCCTTAGAGGGCAGGGGTAACCCACCCACACCTGGGTCCCAGACAGCTTTTAATCAGATCCCCGGCACAACGGTGTTGTTAATACAGTACATCAGGACCTGTACTAGCCTGGCAGCTAGTCCACTGGCTCCGGCTCTAATCTGCCACTTCCAATGCCTAAGAAATATCCACTAACTTTCACCTTGGTCAGAGCAATTTAATAGTTTTAGCTGGTCACTTAAAGTAGTACACTTACTTTTGGGGTTTTTACCAACCCACTTAATCACTTCTCTCCAATTACTTTTAATAGAATTTTTAAAAACAAGGCTCCCCCAAAAAATCTTGACTTACAGGTCATCAGTGTGATGCAGTAGCAAATGGTTGACTGGAACTCTTAAGTGTGAATTTTTTTAATTAATAATTATTTGATTATTTTTTTTAATCTTTAAAGTGGGACACTTGTAACTTGAGGATTTACTGCATTAAGAAAAGTAGAAGAAATAAAATTTGTGGGAAGTAAAGGAACCTACCTGGGCGCAGGGTCCAGAGGCTCCTGGCATAAGTTCTGGTGACAGATGTGCACGTTGAGACTGCTTTTTCTGAAGGGCCTTCTGCCGAGCCTTCTCACGAGCTTTTTTAGCTTTAGCTCGTTCCTGAAATAATGAATATCGATTAAATCACCTGTGCTCCCTGCGTATATACCTAACAGCCTTTCTACCTTCCTGCCCTAACCCAACTATGTCTTCCTCCCAAACCAATAAGTTGTTGATAAACTTGACTATTTCTGAGATTTTCAGAACAAAAATTCATGGGAGAGATTAACAATTTAAAACAGCCAAATGACTGCCACTCCATCACAATAAATAAGACAGATAACCATTGTTTAGCACGTGATCGTGTACATGGTCCTCGGATATCATATCTTCTTCATATCTATACACCTCCCCTGAGACACTGAATGAGTAAGGTGACAAATTAAACACATCTTCTACCTTATTACATCTTAAATATTTCCTCACTCTAAAAATTGTCATCAAGAATGATAATTATGTACCTGCTCCTGTAGCACCTTGGCCAACTCTCTGTCCTGCGCCTCGATAGCCATAAGTTGGTCTTGGTGGAGGAGGTCCCCGCGCCTCTTCCCGTCCTGCTCCTGAAGTAGCCGGGCTAACTCCTGTAAATTAGTTGTGCTCGCGTGCACCCAAATTGGACATTGCTTTTGCCAATGTCATTTATATGATAAAATTGAAAACTTTCAAAACTGTACAGTAATATAAAAGAATCATGTCAGAGTAAAAATAAGGTTTTCCTTTAATGGCCAATTCTAAAAATAAAAAAAAATTTTGTCCACCTTTTCCTTGCTAACAGGGAGAACTTAAGCTTAAAGTCAGAGCTGTCCCTATGGGGGTGTGGGAGCCCTGGGCAAATCATCATTGCGGGGCCCCCTTTAGGCCCTTTGCCTAAAAAAAAAAAAAAAAATATATATATATATATATATATATATATATATATATATATATATATATATATATATATATATATACAGTATATATATACAGTATATATATTATATACTGTATACAGTATATATATTATATATATATATATATACACTGCATGCATACTTACATACAAAATCAATAGCGTACAATCGTGAAATAAAAAAAAGGTAAATTTCCTGGTTTATTTTAATACGTAATTACAAAATAAAAGAAGTGACGACAGTTAGTAATTTTACAATATTGCAACACAAAATATGAAAAGAAAATGAAAGAGATTTGTGACCCCCCCTAGACTGTATGTGATAACTTAACTGTTTGAAAGTTATGAACATATTTTAAATGAGATTCAGAAATAAAGAAAATAAGATCTGGTGATATTATTGTACCTGTACAGTAGCTAAAACAACTATCTGTACACACTTTGTGGGAAACAATATGAGACCATGGACGTTAAATTTTGGCTGTCACTGGTCACACGTAAAACTTTGGAGCATACCGACCCCAGCTGCACAGATAGTTGTCTTAGCTACTGTACATAGAAAATAAAACATATATATATTATTATTATTATTATTATTATTATTATATATATATATATATATATATATATATATATATATATATATATATATATATATATATATATATATATATATATATATATATATATATATATATATATATATATATATATGTATATATATATATATATATATACGACCCTCGTTAATTCGACCCCTTTAATCCGGATTTCGGATTCGGACAAAATCTGAATTTTTTTTTTTTTTTTTAGGAATATTACCTACGCGGACCTTAAGCTAAAATGCTGGTCCACCCACTGCTGGGATAAAACACCAGCGTCTTTTTGGTTAAATGTAACATCTCCACCACTAGTGTGGGGGGGGGATGCAACTTTTAGCTTCAGACATGAAAAATATTTACCATTTACTGCCAGTAAACAATGGAAACGTAAAATATGTACCAATTAGTAATGAAAAGCTGTGCAGTTCCTTCAGTAAATGAAGCTCACCAACTTACAATAGGCTAAATTACCTTACAACGTGTTTTCAGTAGTCTATGTTGACGTTCTTAGTACAGGCTAACTTATCATATCATATACGGTATCACAGTTCTCATTGATCTACAAAAAATACCGGTAATAAAAACCTTTTCGATATTTCACACTTATTATAATACCCGGTAATCTACTTCAACCTCCTATTGTTTACAGCGACGCATGACGCACCACCAGCTGTTGAGTGTCAGCTAGACGGTACACGTGTTTTTCGAATCGTTTTCAGTTAAAAAACTGTTACATCACACATATATTTTACCTTAACTGTGCCTGAATGAATATATTCTCGGAAATAAATAGTAGTTTTGCCGAAACGTGATGTATTTTAATGTAAAATAGGATAAAATACATGACGAAAACAAAAGACTTTACCTAAGCTTCCGATGTTCTTGAGATGTTATTCGTTTTTTTAATAGTTTTCGGTTAAAATACTGTTATATTACAATGATATTCTATTCATACTGTGCTTGATATGATACATTCACGGAAATGTAATATTTTTGCTGAAATTACGTACGTATTACAGTGGAAAGTGGGATAAAATCGTGACGAAAACAATGACTTTCGCTTTCTTTCGTTCAAAAGATGTTACAGTAATCGCTTTTCGAATGGTTTAGTTAAATAACTGTTGTATTACAATAATATTCCCTCCTAATTGACTTGAATAAATACTTGAATGGAAATATACAATATTTTTGTTGAAACTACCCACATTTCAGTGTAAAGTGTCCTAATAATAAATGGTAAACAATTTGCTTCGGCACTCGGTGTTTCATGCACGGCGAGCCTCAGTTTATAGGACGTAGAGAGTTTTTACTGAAGGTTTTGTTGTTCCATTACCCTCAAAAACTTGGGTCGAACTATAAACGAGGAATATCATAAATTAACGATTTCTTGGTCAAAAAATCAGGGTCGACCTATAAACGAGGGGGGGGAGGTTATAGACGAGTATATACGGTATGCAAGGCTAAGGACAAACTCACTGCATTTTCTTTGAAATATAATGCAATATTAACCCCTAAATCAGTTAATTCGGACAATCAGCTAAAACGGACACTCTTCCCCCGCTATCAGTCCGAATTAACGAGGGTCGACTGTATATATATATATATATATTTTTTTTTTAACATAAACAAGACAAATGCCATAAGACATGACAAACTTGATGGCAACATAACTAATAACTAATGTAATATTCTATGACTTCTCATAAAGCACTTGTGAAGTAGCAGACACAGCCTTACTTTAGAAAATTAATCTTTCTTGCTTTCTTTACAGAAAATTCATTTCAGTTCATGATAGCACAAACTTGCTGCCAGTTCCTTTTTGATGGTAAGCATCACAAGTCTACTCAACCTCTCTTGAGACATATACTGTATACAGCAGTTGTCCTTAAGATAGCTTTTTATCAATTTGAGTTTAGAGAAACTTTGCTCCCCTGATGCCACTCTGACTGTCAACAAAATCCTATTTGCTATTTCTGCATGAGGGAAGAAACCATTGAGAGTTTTAGAAACTGAAAGACTTGAAGTGCATTTTTTGTTTCTTTGGGAATGAATTCTCGGAGTACTTGAAGCTCTGAAAAAACTCGGCTTCGTCAACATCGTGAGAATTTCCAACACCCAATGACTTGTCCAAAGCAAAGTTGTGCTCAGCTGCTATAATACGTGTTAGAACTGATCACCATGGTTCCTTTTCTTTATTCAAGTCTTGTAACATGCATGTATCTCTGATATACCTTCTTTTCATTTCTCTCCATTTGATTAAGTTGAACAAGTGTTCATCTGAATGACTCATGAGATTTTAGTCTTCCACTAAAGTGCTTCCAATCAGCACAGTCTTCTTTTACTAGTTTGTGTTTTGCACATATGAACTGTATAATTACTATGCTAACCAGGAGAGCACAGAGTGCCTGGAAGTGCGGGGACCGGAGCAGCCCCCCCCCCCAGATGTTTACAATACTGTACATAATAATTAATCTTGATATCCCCTTTTCTGGCAGATCTCAATATAAGAATGCTCTCGTAATACTGGCCAACTGACTAAGGGCCTTTAAGTCCCTGGACTGAATGCCCCACTGACATTTACCACCAGTTCTAACATTTTCATATTTTTTCTTTATTTTGTGACTCAAGTTGAGGCTTACACTGCAAAACTGAACTTGACTGCATGAAATTAAAAAAAAAAGGGAATAATTTGATGTCATGTTGCATCAACAGGGTTAATAACACCAAGATCAATAGTAAATCTGACTAACATATCCCTGATGTGTCTACAGTACACGGGGCTGACACTTTATTTTGTGGAATATTGTAAAAGCAAATCAGCGGAGAGTAGATAGACAGGAACTACAGTACAACCAGTTGACATGACTTGGATTCATTTAAATTTGTTGACAATAGAGAAGTTGCCAGTGGTTAGCCAATCACAGCTTTAATAAAACCTCTGCACCACAGAGGCAATCAGTGGGTCACATCCCTCTTATCTGAGGCTGATGAACAAGGAATTAACAGATTTACCCTGGCTGGTGCTGGAATATTCTCCAGGGAATCACAGACCCCAAGTGCGGTAAGTTACACAATGTTACGTAAATTCATTATAGATTATAAGAAGTGTGAATGGATTAAATAAGAATGGAGAAGATTTTTATGGAAGTGGATAAGTTCAACAAGGTGAAGACACAACACATTTATGGTAATTTTTAACAGGAGAAAAGAAAACAGGTTGAGGAAGGATGGAGATGTTTCATAACCCTGAGATCCTCAAACTCAGTTCTAGTTTCCACTTTGTTCCCTCATGAATTAAGTTGGGTATTCTCACCTCACTAATTTGGGTATCTAAAAGTGTTAATAGGTTAAATATATAGGTGTGTGTTAGAGCACCACCGCAATGACCATTTTATAAACTCACAGCATCTTGTCCCTCTTGTAGAACCCTTTGCTCCTCCTCATCCATGTCATCTGTGGGCTGCAGACAAAAGTCACTCAGGTCAGAGAGATCTGAGGACACTGCACTGGCATTGCTCTGTGCTGATCGATCACTGCTGACAGTGCCGTTCAAGTCGTGTTCCCTGTAAGGAATTGACTACATTTAAGCTTGCAAGTACTGTACTTAATTGGCTTAAAGCGTGAGTTATCCGAGTTAAACATAACAAAGATTTTCTTTCTGAGCCCATTAACAAAAGCATCTTAAAATGACATACCTACCCTTGGCTGTACTGTACAGACTTTTAGTATAGCTACATCTGCCATCCACATCTATACAAAGTGGCATAAAGTTCATTGCACTCTTGCAGATATGTTGATTTTATTAATTATGATTACAAGTTTACAAATATCATGTGACATTTAGCACCAAGCAACTAGAAGCTCACATGTACACTACTAGTGATCATCCTACAGGTATTTTAAGCCCTGTTGGTAATAACATTACCATTGTGTTAACCACTGAACAGTATCTGACTTAGCTAATGCTATGATCATCATCATTATCTGTTAACAAGTAGTAAGCAGCTTGTTGGTGACAGTACAGTCTCTCCTCGACTTACGACATACTCGACTTACGACCAATTTGACTTACGACCTGGTCGTCGAGACGGAACCCCATCGTAAGTCGAGGAGAGACTGTATATGGCAAAATGTACTACAGGTGGACTATAAAAAATCCGGCAACCTCGGGACCTGAGGAGTGTCGGATTTTCGAAAATGCCGGAAAACTGATGGTTATATTTGCTGTATAAGTTTAACAGAAAATGACTACCTGTACAGTCCTTTAAACAAAGAAAATTAAACACTAAATGAAAAGCAAATGAAATTTTATTATATATGCTGTATACAGTAGTACCCCGATTACGTACGTGGTCAATTGAACCCACAGGGTACCACGGAAAGTGAAAACCCGTAAAGTGAACAACAGAACATATGGGATTAATTCCAATAGAGACTGGCCCGACCCCCAAATTCCACTTTTTCCGACACAATACCTATGTTGTAGTAAAAATAACATCTAAAATTTATGATGGTATGCTCACACAATTAATATATAAGAGAAATACAGTCGCCAGGTTAATGTCCATTCAAATAATGGACTCAAATCCCCCCCCCCTCTTCCCAGCTCACTGGCCCCTACCTCTCTGAGAAATGATTGGGTGAAACACTAGATTTTAACCTCAGACTAAAGTTAGGATAATATAATTGACATTGCTGGATTCCTTGTAAGACCAGGAATATTTTGAATATAAATGTCATATATTTTGCACAAAAGATAACATATTTACTCAGAGTAAACATTAGATCTAAAATTTGTATGTCTAATGCAAAATCTATGATGTTTATATTCAAAATGATCATCAAATTGTAAGAATTCCAGCAATGTAAATTATATTCTGGCCGGGTAATTTGTATGAATTTTATGAGCTAAAACATATATCTTCATTAAATAAACAAAGAAATATTTGAAAATGAGCTCCGAAATCCATGCCGGAAATCTGAAGGTTCCGGTTTTCGGTTGCCGGATTTTTGATAGTCCACCTGTATTAAATATTTTATAACATATTAAAGACCCCCATACTGAATCATGAGGGTTTTAATATAAATGTCTGTTAAATAGATGATCATATTGCCATCCCAAGACTAATTCTTTTAAAATGGAAAGACCTCATCCTTTCCTGGGGAAGAAAGATTAAGCTCATGCTAGTTTTACTGTGGTAAATCATTAACTGAAGAGAATAACAACATACCGAGGTTCTTTACGAGACAGTAAGGCCACGTTGTCACTCCCTGAGTTAATGCCAAGGTAAGCTGCTTCCCTCTCTACTTGCCGTAACTCTCGAATTTGTCGTACAGATTCTTTTTCTCGTTCCTGAAAATGTATGAATTAAAGTTAAAAAATTCCTCAATCTGGTTTGGTTAGAATAAAAGTTTGAAACATTGAAACAAATTTCATGGGCAGGTTAACCAACACCCTCCTAGTACTGTAGTACAGTACGTAACAACAGCATGTTCTTGACAACAGTCAACCTCCAAAGACAAGTTTAATTAAGCCAGTTTTGAGTCACACTTCAAAAAGGTTGGCAATATTTAGGATCAAAAGGTCCAAAACTTAAGGCTTCAGAAGTCCAAATTCATATCAAACTATGTTAGCAAACTTAAACCCAGAGACGACACTCAGTGAGGTGAGCTGCATTTAGCTCAAGGTTCACACTGACCCACAAAAATATATTTCTGAGAGGTCCATTATGTTATCTGTAGCTTTTGGAAGCTAAAAATGTGACTCAGGACCAAAATAATGTAAGCATAAAAAGTCTTGTGGGTTGAAATCTATGTTATGTCTAAAGACATCAGTCTTGTAAGCTTCCAAGCATACAGTGCCTTTTTTCTTTTCTTTTTTACAGGGATTAGCCCACCCGGGCAAAGATCACTGACCCACATCAGGGCCTGGGGGCAAAAATATAATAATACAGTAATAATAATAATAATAATAATAATAATAATAATAATAATAATAATAATAATAATAATAATAATAATAATAATAATAATAATAATAATAACAACAATAATAATAACAATTATTAATAATTAATAAAAATTATAATAAAAACTAAAAATACAATAATAATAATAATGATATTGACCATAAATAAAAAAATGAAAAACTAAATCAAGAATGAGAAACGATATACAGTATTGTATGTTGTGTTGTCGATAGTAAGAGAAATAATTCAGACCCTGTAAATGAAGCAGAAAGTCAGATCAGCAACCTGGGACTTGGTCACAATTTTCCTGATGCCATATGGCAGCAGAGTCTACCATTAGACAACACATTATGCTTCCAATATCTTCCCAGGCGGTAGTACCTCCTTGTTTGATAGCTGCTATACTATTATTATTACATTTTTGCCCCCCAGGCAAACTTTTTAAATAATACTTATAAAACCAGAGACAGAAGTGTATTGGCTACCAATATAATAATCTATTAGTAATTATAGAAAGGATTAACTAAGTAAGAAGAGTGACAAGCCAGGCTCTGCACAGTATTCTCATAGTTTACGGAACACGGAGTAAAGAGGCCGTAAGGGGGAATACAATGACAAACAACGGAAGAGTGCAATGACATTAAATAAAAATATCCACACATACTTGGTCAAACCCTGAACCTACATATTAAGTACAGTACAGTATATAAAGTGAATATTTAGTATCCATACTGACTCGCATCATTTTCATATAAATTCACTAAGTATTATAGGTGAGGTTTTATGATATACTTATAATTTATCTGAAACTCTCTAATGGCATTCAGGCCATCTTACCTGCAAAGAAAATTATTTGACACTCATATTTTTATTTTGTGATATACAGAGGTAGAGCTGCGGAAATGTGTTCCTACGCCCTCGTGGTAACCCGAGTCTCCAAACGGCCAATCTATATGACCTTTGCAAACCTATCCACCAATCACATCTATTGTTACACAACCAATACGGTGCCATTTGGAGACACAGGTTACCTCAGGGGTTGTAGGAACACATTTCCACAACTGTACAAAGTGCCATGACAATGTGACTTACAATCACCCTTGGCTCATTCAGTAAATCATAAAACACTTTCAAGTCAACAATCCCTCCATCAATTACATTACATATCACAACTACTGGATACAATATCTGTGAGCCACTTGAGGTTTTACCACAAGACTGTGGTTATGTGGTAATACTACATGTACTGTACTATACTCGGTTACACTGGATATCAACCATTCATTGGTTCCTCAGTGGGGGATGACAGCCCAGGACCAATGGACTTCTAGTTCACCATGTCTGCTACTCCACCACTGGACTCATCACATATCTAATGGTATTAATAAGTCAATGAACAACCCAAACACACAATGTCTCCCTATAACATGAATACTGTACACAAGAGACACGAAAACATTCACATCACAGTGCACCTCGGTCATCTAAACTTTCAAAACAAGGATATCACTTCCAACAAGGCCTCTTAGTGGGGGATTCATGCTGTACCAGGAACAGGATAAAAATGTCCAGCAACAGTAAGAAAAAGGATAAGCATAACTAATTAGTAGTCTGTTGAATGAATAAGTCCAAGTAGAAACTACCTGAAACTATACAGGCATAGTCAGGCAAATGAAAGATCCAGTACAGTACCTACAACTTAGTACAGTGACATAAGGTAAACACACAGTTGAGCCTTCTAACAGCTGTTACTTGCTTGAAAACTCATCAAAACTTACATTCTTATTATTTATAAGTCGTGCCATACACAGTGTAAATGACTTAAATCTCACTGTAGTACCTGTACTCAGATGTGATCATCTTCAACATAGGAATCCAGTATGAAGTGAGTGAGTCCATAGGTTAAAAGGTTTAGTCATACAGTGAGTTCTGCTATAACGTGTGTTTTGACAACGCGAATTGGCTCTAATGCGATTTATGAATAGAGGAACGATATTTGTATAACGCGAACGCTTGTTTGCTGTAACGCGATTTTTGCTTACTATTTCTCCAATTTTGTGGTATTAACTGTGAATATGGTAAAGAAGAATATCTCCAAGAAGCGTTCTGTTGATCGCATTCCCGGTGATGATCGTAAAAGAAAGGCTATAACACTTGAAGAGAAGCTCGATGTTATCAACCTCAAAATCACCCTTCTCCCCCATCAAGTTAGTATATTCATATTTCTTCACGGTAAAGTGTTACATTTACTGTATGATTTCATTATTAGATATGAATGTAACATTTATTTAGACTGTGCTAACCTTTGTGTTAGGCTAACTACTAAAACTTTTTCGATTTCGAGTATGGTAGTAATCTGCACCTAACCCTATTTTCTCCATAAGCCCTGTTATTTCTATTACGCGAATTTCTATAACACGATGTTTTACAAGAACACAACTATCGCGTTATAGCAGAACTGACTGTACTTCAAAGTCAAATCTGCATGCCTCAGATATTGTAATCTTAAAAATAAATACTACAAAGAAAGCTAATATAAGGACTAAAAACAAAGAAACAACAATAACATAAATGCCAATAATTCCACAATACCTGTGATCATATTGGTATGAGTCATTGGTTCCTGTGTGTAAAAAGGATCATGAATCTGGGATATATCTAAACTACAAATTTCAAACTTCAACTTTATATCTGCTTCTATTCAGCCTGTGATAGGTTAATAAGTGTCTACAACTTGCTGTTGGTCTGTGAAAAGTGTGTAGGTTAGTCTCCCATAAAATTTAAGGATTTCAGTAAATTTATATGACCATATTTGTAGACGTAAGCATGCCAATAACAAATTCACAACACAAGTAAGGTTTCTTTAGTAAATCCTTTCATGATGAATCCCAAAGTAGAATAAAAGAGGAGTTTTTAACATGAGGAGTGGGGGAAGATGAGGGTAAGTTGATGTAACACTGTACAGGTATAGTAGTTAAGGTTGGAGAATAGAGAGACAGGGATTATCATCAAGCTTCTTTGTGTATAGACTTTTATTCATTACATCTATCAAGTCCCAATAAAAATTATAATTACAAATTACTGTATGCTAAAAACAATAAATGGCAGAAGAGCAAATAACAAGAGAAAAAGCATCAAAACATTTAAGATCTTCTAAAGCAATAGCAGAGCAAAATCAAAGCATGTCACAGACTGACCATCAGATTGCGAGCATACAACATATCTTGTTCCTCCTGGTGCCGCTGTTTCTCCAGGTCCCGAACGTTCAACTTCAGAGCCAAATTGGCTGCCAAGTCTGCATCACGAGCTTCCCTGAGCAACGATTCACAAGTCACAAACCCACAAAAAAAGCCCAGAATAAGTTATGTACTTACCATTACAGTGCCGTATGTACAAATATCTCTGAGTGAAGCACAACTCAGGCCAAACATAACTTACAAAGCTACAGTAACATAGGCATGGACAAAGCTTGTGAAGTCCCATTTCATGGCTGGGGAGGGATGAACACATAAACTGGGACTGTCCCACCTTCACTATGTGGTGCTGTACAACCATCATACTGGTATAATGTAACATTCCTAGCCAACCACACTAACACAGGTTGTATGACCCAGAGGCCTTGTTGAGCTGACACGCACATAATGAACTATTGGGAAAAACTTTGTGAACTCCACTTGATGCTTTATACTTCCTTAGCCATAGTTACCTAATTATAAACACATGTTCAGACCATTCTTTATGACTGGTCCAGAATATTAGATGTGACCCAAGACACTCATACAGTACCAGATGACAAAAACAATAATAAGAAAGTTTCTGTTCCCAAGGGACACTAACTTATAAACAACAATGGGCCATACACATATGGTAGGTACAGTATCTCTTGAAAGACTGACAAAAATAAAAGTCCTCTTCCTGATTTCATACATCATACAGTATACTATAATTTAAAAAAGAGAATACTAGGATGAATATTCTGGTAAGACATACTGTATACACAAAAAGGTGTGTCAGGTTGAACGAATTTGCTAGAAAGGAGACGTTCTATTCATATGGTTAACGTAAAAAGTTGTCATATGGGACGTCCTTGTTATGGTTAAATTGACAGTTGCCAACTACTACAGGATACCAGATGTAAAGGTGTTGTAGGTTGGATGGCTGGATCCATACAAGGGACATTCCTTGGAGTGATAATTTAAATTACTATTTATTAAAGACCTCCTCCATAAGGGTTACTTCTCTAAAGTCATCTTGGAGATTACAGGTTTGGGGAAATGGTTCCCACAAAGGATTTAGTATTGATTAATAGGCCCACAAATAATCAAGGGTCTCTGTGTCTCTAAACTGTGAACTCTTTCTGTTTATCAGATGAAAGTGCTAATCAGGTTGATCATGGTAATACTGTACTACAGTGTCCACCAGTACTACGAGATACCAGAGTGGCTGCCTCAATGACACTGATAACTTGGCATCCTGATACAGATGTTCTTAATAGAAGAATCACCATATTGGTTATAATTATTTGCCTTGTATCTAGCAGAACAAACAGAAAAGCTGGCAGTCTCTGAACCCTCAAGATTGGCTCAATACTTACCTTAAGTTCTTACTCACTCTTGGTAATATCATGGCATCTCTGGAAGCTGAATTATTTCATCAATTTCCCAAACTGATTATCAGTGAAATAAGCAGAATGGTGATAATTCCAGCAAGGCAAGTCTAAAAACTGCCCACTGGTTGGAGAAACCCAATTGTATGATACAAAGCAACAATAGACTGTGAATGACAAACTGAATTTCAGATTTATGAAATATTGCTGAGGTGGTTTTAAGCACAAGAAAAGACTTAAAAATATATTTTCAGAATGGTCCGACAATGACCAGATCCCACGTACCAGCTGGTGTAAGCCAATGGTTCATACAACCTGTGTTTGGCAAGGAATGTCAATACCCTGTACTGCCACTATAAAACTAACTTAGTTACTTTATATCTCATGAGAGCTGAATTGGTGCAAGATTGGTTGATAAGGACAAAGGTTACAAATGGAAGATGACACAATTCAGGTGGAATATAATTCAGAGGAAAAGTTACACATGTTAGTCAATAAGCATAAGTATGTAATAGGAGAAAATAAGTGTGATTTTTTTCACACTTGCAAGCCTTTTCTCACTAAAGCCTAAGGTAGCAGGAATCAAGGGCAGCACACTCTCCCTCACATGCTGTTATTCATCCATTTCTGTTAGGAGAATATAATTTGCATTGCTGGAATCCTTGCAAGACAGCGAATAATTTGAATGTAAACATCATATATTTTGCACAAGAGATAAAAATTAATCAACTGTATCACATTACAGTAGTGATTTAAGAGTTCTAGTGTGTGTGTGTGTGTGTGTGTACAGTGGTCCCTCAGTTAACGAATTACCTTCCATAAGAATCTTCAATTCGGTTAACGAACAAAAATTTGATTAACGAAATCATTACGAAAATCACGTTTTGTTGTGAGCATCAGCTGGTCAGCTATGGCCCAGTCTGCCAAAACAGTAATCTATTCCAAGTTTAAATTCGTTTCCAATGGGGTAAATATCAATAAATTTCAGCTTTTTAATATTTTTGAATGTTTTATATTAAAATTATTTGTCATTTTAACATTTATTTAACATATTGATAATATTATATGCAGTACTCCTTGTACAGGTTCAGTCTGGCTTTGTTTACTGTCAAGAGAGAAGACATTTTGTTGGTGTCTTGAATATTTTTGCATTTTTCATTGAAATTATTGGTCATTCTGAACTTAAGTTAACATATTGATAATATATAGCACAGTGCAGTGTTGATTTAAATAAAATAATCTTGAATTACACCGAGTGAACTTAAAATTTTATTGGTGAAATGACGGCATCAAGCATGGGTCCACTGAAAGGTGACTCTCCTCCATCCCCACTTCCTTCTCTTCTCCCTTCTCCTCCACCCCCCACTTCTAATTCCCATCATCATCATCATCAACCAGGAGCCTTCTACATACACACCTCAAAGTAAGTGTACTTTACTGCATTTTTGTTTTTACTTTGTACGTACTTTTCGGTGAGCTGGAACCAATTACCCAATGTCCCATTGAAACAATTGATCCGGTTAACGAACGACCTTCTGGAACGAATTGTGTTCATTTACCGAGAGACCACTGTATATATACAGTGGGGTATGCTATAACAAACGGATCCTACTACGAGTTTTTCTATAACGAACGGTTTTACCTTTAAAATTGAGAATGCTATAACGAACAAAACTCCTACAACGAACATTATTTAAAAAAAAAAATTTTTTTTTTTTTTTTTACTAATTTAGTGTTTTTTTATTACAAGTATTAATGATATTCTTTATTTCAGGGGTTTAGATGCATATTTATGCACTTTTTTACAATTTTTATAATTTTATATTATATTTTTCAGTGTTAAGTGGTTGTATTTGGGGGCATGGAACGGATTAATCCTATAACGAACGAATGCTATAACGAACAAAGTTCTAGAACCAATTAGATTCGTTATAGCATACCCCACTGTATAGTGATTTAAGGGCAATTTTGGGGATTTTTAGGAGTGTTTCTGACTTCATGCATTTTTTGGCTTTACTTTGTATGTATGTACAGTACTTTTTCTGTGAGTTGGAGCCAATTGTGTTTGTTAATCGAAGGACCACTGTATTATTTTCGCATTTTCAACTTACGACCAATTCGACTTACGACCTGGTCGTCGGCCCCTAACCCCGTCATAAGCCGGGGACTGACTGTACTGTAAATATAAATTTAAATTCAAAATTACATTTTCAACCAATTTATGTTTTGAATATATAAAACAATATTTTCTAAAATTAATTATACATTACACCAACAGAGCACAAGACTCTCAGCTTTCCTCTGGTAACAACAAAAAATCTTTAAGGTGAATAATGAGGCTGTAATGGATTTAGAAAATACTGTAAAAGTTACCCAACAAACATATTTTATCAATATTCTTCAAAATTATTAGTTTTTTTAATACTTTATTTACCAAGTGTTTAGTTCAGGTCTGAAGAGATTTTACGATGTTGTTAGAATTTGTCTGAAGCCTAGTGTAATTTCATGCAAATTTAAAAAAAAAAAAGTATGTGAGGAGCCAAAATCCTGTCAGGCAAAAATAACTACTGTATGGAACACATATCTTTCACACTAGATATTATTTATATATAAAAGCATATAAGATGGTTATACAACATGATCATATAAATTTTCCAGAGAACTGGTTGCTGTTATCTAGTCCCTTATCACTATCACTGTTAGCTAAAGCAGACTCAAATTCTTTGCTGCTCTTCAATAATCGATATAGACGACGAGGCACAATGAGTCGTGAAAATGGGGCTAAATTTGAATCACAATAATCACTACACTGTTGGAAATATCCCAACCATTATCCACAATATACACAGTCAACAATACTGTACTCACTCACACATACATTATCCAGGGGTCGGAGTGTGGTGTCAAGTGGATGGCGTATGGTGGAATTTAAACGTCCACGTGCGATACCAACTTTTCCCGTGGGCAGACACAGAGGGTGCCAGAGGTACAATACATTACCATGGATCTTCATGCTACAACCTGTACTCCATCCAAATTTCATGCTTCCATAGTGGACATTATTGTCTTTTTAAATATAATTACTGGCTGTATTTTAATCTTGAGCATGCTATCTGTGAGTCCAAGATCATGAGCGTAGCGAAAAGTTTCGGACGCGCCCCTGGCATCCAAGACCGTGCGAATATTAATGCTATTTATATGCTTTTGTTATACATGTTTATATGACTATAACTTTAAAGATGAATCTAGTGATCTGAACAGTCTTCACAGCCAGTTACGAGGGTTTACTGTACAATTTGTAAATTTTAGGCAAATTCCGGAAAACACCCATCTGGCAACACCAAGGTCCCAAGCATGCCAGATGAATGGTCCCATACTTGTAGAGGAATTATACACATTATGTGTACTGTGTGTTCAATTATTCTGACTAACAGAAAATTTGATTAATACATAGCCTTCAGGAACAGAACCCATCCGTAACCCAGGGAGTGTCTGTACTACTGAGGTGTGATGTTGGGGTGTAAACCAGACCAAAATCTTGTGGCCTTTTTTTGAAAGAGGACACCAGAGTAGAACACATCTGTGTGGCAGTTACAGAGAGGGAATTAACAGCAAGTGAGAAAAGTCTAGGTTGCTCTTGATTCCAGCTACCATTTACCATAGCAGAAAATGGCTGATTAAGAGTTTTAAATTTTTTTAGTGTACAGTAGATGGTGTGAGGGTAGAACTAGACTGTACAATAGATGGTTAAAGTTAGTAATTAATTGTGAGAGTTGAGGAAGATAAGAGGGAGGAAACAGAAGATAACCCAGAGAAGAGGAACTATGGTGACAATATACATATTGAAGCCTACTGACTCAAAAGCTAATGGGACACTAAAAATAATAGGAAGTAGCAATTTCCTAATGATTGAAATATTTTAACTTTCATGATATATTTTCAAAGTGTTCCTCTCTTTCTCATGATCAATTGAGTGTCAGTCCATCATGGTGGTATGTCTATTAGGGTTATGACCCACTAGGACTGGGCCCCAATTACAGTGATTAGGTCAGGTAAGATGGGGCCTATTAGGGCTGATGCCCATTTAAACTCCCTTTGCATATAAGGTGGTCAGAATTTAAACCTACAGTCTGCCATATTGGCCAGCTATGATTCTGAATGCCTCATATGAAGTTTACTAAAGCATTTACTTGGGTAAGAAACACAGGTGGTCGATTAACTAAATTGAATTTTATGGGTACAGTACTATAGATGTATTCATAAGCAATAGCCAACACAAAACCATGGAGTAGTGTGAGGTACAATACTTATACACATACAGATATGATTTTACAAAGAGGCCCAATGAGTCTGGATACAAAACTTAGCTTCTGTTAGTTCCAGGGCTTGAATACCACAAGAATAGAACCATACCACACAACACAGTAATGTAACACCATGTTAACACTAGAGTACAGTACTCACTGCTGGGCCAGAGACAGCTCATAGGCAGTCTGGGCCATGGCAGCTTCATGGTCCTCCCTGGTCTGTTCCTCACGAGCCTTGGGAGTGTCCTGACGCAGCAGCTGGTTTCTCTCTCTGTTATTAACCAGGTGAGACTGATCTGTAAGTAGTAATAAAGCCTTGGTTAGTTCTGTAAGTAATATGGAGAATTGATTCAAATACTGTGATGCAGACAATGGGATTCACTAATGCTCAGACAAAAAAAAAATAATACATACTATATACTAGTCTAAAACTAACCTAACTTAAACTAACCTAACATGAACTAGCCTAAAATTAACCATACCCAAATTCCCTTAACTTAACCTACAGTACATTGCCCCATTTAACATACCCGGCACATAATCTAACCTATAACCTCACCTAAAATAAACATAACTTTATCAAAGCCACAGTTTCAGTAAGATGATTCTGGTTGGTTACAAGTTCAGATAAGTTTGGCTCCTTCTGTATCCATCCTCTAGTACTATATTGTGCTGAACCACAAAAGTATTCACATTTTAAAGGTTGTCAAATACTGTATAGTACCAATACATAATAAAGAATTAATCAAAAGGAAGAGGGGATGGAAGAGAAATCACCCCATGCTTGATGCCGTCATTTCACCAATAAAATTTTAAGTTCACTAGGTGTAATTCAAGATTATTTTCTTTAAATCAACACTGCACTGTGCTATATATTGTCAATATGTTAAATAAATTTCAGAATGACCAATAATTGTACTGTAAAAACATAAAAATAGTTTATGTTCAAGAGAGCCACAAGCAAGATGTTACCTCCACTGAACAGAGACACAAACAGACGCCTTGGAGGGTGAGTGAAGTGGTTGATGGGTGCACCAAAAACTAGTTCCCTGTACTGCAATTATGTTAAATAAGTGTTAAAATGACTAATAATTTTAATATAAAACTTGGAAAAATATTTAATAGCACAACTTATTTGATATTTACTCAAATGGGAACGAATTTAAGCCCTAGAACCGATTACTGTATTGGCGGACTAATTTACCAACTGATGAGCAAGCGAAAACATGTTGACATGTTTTCGTAAGAATTTCGGTAACTTAATCGAATATTCTTATGGAAGGTAATTCGTTAACTGAGGCGTTCGTTAACCGAGGGACCACTGTATGTATGTATGTATGTATGTATGTACAGTGAGTTCTGCTATAACGCGTGTTTTGATAACGCGAATTTGCTCTAACGCGATTTATGAATTAGGAACGATATTTGTATAACGCGAACGCTTGTTTGCTATAACGCGATTTTTGCTTACTATTTCTCCAATTTTGTGGTACAGTGGGGTATGCTATAACGAATCTAATTGGTTCTAGAACCTTGTTTGTTATAGCATTCGTTCGTTATAGGATTAATCCGTTCCAGGCCCCCAAATACAACCACTTAACACTGAAAAATATAATATAAAATTGTAAAAATTGTAAAAAAGTGCATAAATATGTATCTAAACCCCTGAAATAAAGAATATCATTAATATTTGTAATAAAAAACAATAAATTAGAAAAAAAAAAAAAAAAATTAAATAATGTTCGTTGTAGGAGTTTCGTTCGTTATAGCATACCCCACTGTATTAACTGTGAATATAGTACTGTAAAGAATATCAACGAGAAGCGTTCTGGTGATAGAATTCCCGGTGATGATCGTAAAAGAAAGGATATAACACTTGAAGAGAAGCTCGATTTTATCAACCTCAAAATCACCCTTCTCCCCCATCAACTAAAGTGTTACATTTACTGTATGATTTCATTATTAGATATGAATGTAACATTTATTTAGACTGTGCTATCCTTTGTATTAGGCTAACTACTAAATTTTTTCGATTTCGAGTAATCTGCACCTAACCCTATTTTCTCCATAAGCCCTGTTATTTCTATTACGCGATTTTCTATAACACGATATTTTACATGAACACAATTATCGCGTTATAGGAGAACTACCTAATATATATATATATATATATATATATATATATATATATATATATATATATATATATATATATATATATATATATATATAATATATATATATATATATATATATATATATATATATATATATATATATATATATATATATATATATATATATATATATATATATATATATATATATATATATATATATATATATATATATATATATATATATATATATATATATATATATATATATATATATATATATATATATATATATATATATATATATATATATATACAGTGGTCCCTCGGTTAACGAACGGTTCGATTAACGAAATTTTGGTTAACGAATTACCTCCCATAAGGATCTTCAATTCAGTTAACGAATAAAACTTCGATTCACGAAATCCTTACGAGCAATACATTTTGTTGTGAGCATCAGCTGATGGGTTAGTCTGCCAATTCAGTAATCTGTTCTATGTTTACATTCATTTCCAGTGGAGTAAATATCAAGAAAGTTGTGCTCTTTAATATTTTTGCATTTTTTATATTAAAATTATTAGTCATTTTAAAATTTAGTTAACATATTGATAATATATGCAGTACAGGGAACTAGTTTTCTGTGCGCCCATCAACCGCTTGACTCAGCCACCAGGCATCAGTTTGGCTTTGTTGACAGTGTAGTGAACATCGATTTTGTTGGCGTCTTGAATATTTTTGCATTTTTACATTGAAATTATGGGTCATTCTGAAATTTAGTTAATATATTGATAATATATAGCACAGTGCAGTGTTGATCTAAATAAAATACAGTAATCTTGAATTACATCTAGTGAACAGAAAAATTTTATTGGTGAAATTACTGCATCAAGCATGGGTCCCCTGAAAGGTGATTTCTCCTCCATCCCCACTTCTTTCTTTTCTCTCTTCTCCTCCTCCACCCCCACCTCTAATTCCCATCATCATCAACCAGGAACCCTCTACATACACACCTCAAAGTAAGCGTACTTTACTGCATTTATTTTTTACTTTGTATGTACATTTCTGTGAGCTAGAACCAATTACACAATATCCCATTGATACAATGGATTCGGTTAACGAAATTTTCAGTTAACGAACGACTCTGCGGAACGAATTGTATTCGATAACTGAATGACCACTGTATATAAAAGTAAGTAAACTTGCTCCAAAAGCTATCTTTATGGATGGGTTCGATGAATTTCATATGAACACCGTGACACCTGTTGTCTAGGTATGGTTGTCAAAATCTTTCGTCCATTGTATCACATTGTACATAAAATCCATGCATGCAACATGCATAGAATATTGCGGATATACTGTACTGTACTGTACAGTATATTGTCGAGTTGCCTCCACATGAATGTACCACAGCTTGGGAGTGTGTGAGGGCTCTGGTACGACGTGTGGCAACGCAGCACCATTCTGTAGTCAGGACTGAAAGAATGGGAGTGAAATATTGAAAATACTCTGTTTGTGTGGCCACAAATCAGTGCTGAAGAACATTTATCATATGGATGCTTTATTTTCTTTTGTTATTGGTTTCATATTACTGCAGATATTTATCAATGTATAGATGGCTAACCAGGAAACAGGGTAATCCATGGTTTAACGCTCATGACTATGGTGCTGTGTTGTCACTTCTCGTATCTGTGCCCTCGCACACTTCCAGGCCGTGGTACGTTCATGTGTAGGCAACTGTACGTACAGGCCATGTATAAAAGTACAGTATATAGACAGACCAGGTATACTGTACATAAACAGTCCAGGTATACAATGTAAATGTAGTTCAGGTTTACAATTAACACACATTCCATGCATAAAAGGTACACAGCCAGTGCAGGTACAGGTTGACAACCCTTTATCCGAAATTCCAAAAACCGAAAATTTTTTGGGGGCAATTTTTTTTTTTTTTTTATAACAGGCATTAGCCCACCCGGGCATAGATCACTGACCCACATCAGGGCCTGGGGGGCCAAAAATATAATAGTAATAATAATTATAATAATTATTCATAGTAAATAAACATTTTAATAAAAATACACCAAAATAAAATAATATATAATAGATTTAATAATAATAACAATAATACTGTCATAATAAAATAATAATAATAATAATAATAAAGAAATACAAGAATGAAAAAAAGATCAAAAGTGAGAAACACAACCTAGACCTATGAATAATTATTATTATTATTTTTTTTTTTTATTATATTTTCGCCCCCCAGGCCCTAATGTGGGTCAGTGATCTACGTCCGGGTGGGCTAATACACATATTAAAAAAAAAAAAAAAAAAAAAACCCTAACCATTCTGAAAACCGAAAAATTCCGAAATCCGAAATGCCTCTGGCCCCAAGGATTTCGGATAAGGGATTGTCAACCTGTCAACCTGTATACAAACATAGACAGTCCAGTTATACAAACAATGGTAAATAAAAGTCAATTAACCAAGCATAATTCAAGACAGGCATACAGTAATAAGTTAATATCCATTGCCATCCTTTGATGAGGCGGCAGTAGAGTGTACAAACAGGATAAATAAATTGAGTGGTTATTAGATGTTACTGACTATGACTTTATGATATATAAACTGTACAGAAAGTCTACACATGTATTCATATCCTTCAGGGTGAGTGATGCCACACCCCTTCAGACACCATAACCTCCACACAATTAGGTTACAGTACATGTTATCCATGACTCATCACATCTGCATTGCCTTGTTGTCTTCTTCTGCGTATAATTACTGTACTGTACTGTACTAAGATTCTTTTTCAGTCTTATAATCATTTTCCTGCTATGATATAAGGTGGTGGTGGTGCACTGACTCTTAGTACTCAGCAGCAAATAAATTATTGGGTCTTATAAGAAGGTCGTTCGCATATCTAGACGGTCTGTCCCTCGTAACAATCTTCAAGAGTGAAGTGCTTCCCCATCTGGAGTACTGTCACCCTGTCTGGTCTCCAAGATATGCTAGGGACTGTCAGTTGGTTGAAAATGTTCAAAGGAGGGCCACCAGACTGGTGCCTGCACTTCAGCACCTCAGCTACCCTGAGAGATTGGAGAGCTTGAACTTGCCTAGCTTATACTACAAACGGGCAAGGGGTGACCTAAATGAGGTGTATAAGCATCTCAAAGAGGACACTACTCAGTCGAGTGTCCTTACTTGGAGCTGGCGGACGCTCGCCCCACAAGGGGTCACAGCTCAAGATTGAAGAAGCCGCAGGTCCAGAAAACCGTGAGGGCAAGCTTTTTCGGAGTGAGGGTTGTAAACTCTTGGAACAATCTACCAGAGAGTGTTGTGACGGCACCAAGTGTGAGCTCTTTCAAGACCAGACTTGACCAACACTGGAGCAGGTTCAGGTACATTCAGGGGCCGGTGCATGCCCAGTACTTGCCAACAGTGCATAACAGAGATGTGATGCGGCTAACGAGCTGATCATTTGGTGAAGAGGACAAAAGAATAAGAAAAATAAGAGACATGACCAATCGCCAAAGCGGCTAACGAGCCAATCAGTGGTGAAAAAAAAATTAGTGGGTTACCTCACCCTCCTGACAGTATACAGTGGGTCCCCGATTTACCAACAACCGCACTTACATACGAGATCTCATATATTCATCACAAAAATTAGTTTCGACTTATGGCCATTTGCTGGTGCTCATGAACCAGCATTATTTTGTTCAGCGGTCAGCCTCACCCATGATTGGTGGCTCTGCGTTCTGGCAACAACAACAAAGAGTCCACCGGTTCACACCATTTTGTGTGTTACTTGGAACTTTGCTGCTCTGTTTTTAGATTTTTACAAACTCTCATCATGACTGGTAAGCATAAGAGTGATGATAGTATCATTGATGGTACACCTGCCAAGAAGAGGCAGTCTATAACACTTCAAATGGAGCCGGACATAATAAAACAAAGTGAAAAAGGTGAAAGTTCAAGCGATATTGGTAGATCGCTGCAGATGAACAGATCAACCATTAGAATAATTCTCACTGACAAAGCCAGAATTCATGAACATGTTAAGGGGTCAGCCTCAATGCAATCTACAATTATTACCAAGCAGAGGAGTGGATATACGAGTATTGCCGAAATGGAAACAATTTTTTCCATATGGATTGAGAACCAAAGAGAAAGCCAGCTTCATGGCTCAAGGTAAATACTGTACTGTAGTACTGTATAATAATACATATACTGTATACAGTACATATTTTTTTACATTACTTTACCGGTATATTGCTTAACTTCGCTTTATATACAGTAAAGTATTTACATTATTTATTATGTTTACTGTTTTGTATGGGCAGGATGGGGCTTTAACTTAACCTATGGCATCAACACTACGAACAGGGTCCAGAAACCTAACCCATAAGCAGAAGGGCTGTTCAACAAGTAGGCAAAGCTTACTGTGAAGGACGAGGAACTCATTCCTCCACTCCAGTTGGGCATCACCCCAAGGACCATTTTCTTCACTGACAAATACTACAACACTGAGCCACGAAGTCAAAATTTTGCTTACCTTTTCACGTTACCAAAACCATTGTATGTATAACTGAACATTACTATATCTTACATTCTTCATTCTGCAGCCTGTATGCCAAAGCTTGGTCTTCATGCAACAGCCACTCTCGACAAACTGAAAGAAAAGATGAAGCCCTGATATTAACATATGGTGAGATGGTGTCTGGATGTTATAGCAAACAGTATCAGTACTACATAACTCTTGGCGGACAGTAATCTTCACTGTGGTACAGTTAACATTTTTAAGACAATTTCCAGCAACTCAAGGAAGGTAACCCCAAAACAGCCTGGAACTGATACAGTGAATTAAGCTGGGGTGGAGATTCTTCAGGTGATCTGATTAAATTTATTAAATTATACTGACACAAACCCCATCCATTACAATGAGAAACATTTATGGCATCCAGCTCTTTAACCTTTCATCTGTGGACAATTTAACCTAACCAAACAATCCTGGAATACGTATACTTCATTTAAATTATTTTACACACCTTAAGTTTCATTTTATCTTTACACAAACTCCACAGAAAAATAGGTTATCTATGTCAATAACAGGTACACTGGACCATGAGCTAGAGCTGCTTCATGGTAAATATATTTCAACATCATAACATCAGATAAAGATAGATAGATATTCAGTAAATAAAAATACTGACTCCAGGAATTTAGCTATATTTTGTTTTTTTCTTCAAATACACAAGCCATGTAGTATAAAATATGTTCATGGAGAAGAGAGAAAACCAATGACTGAGTCTGACAAGAAGGACATTATTTTGATGTCTTAGCAAATTTAACAAAACATCATGACAGAGATTAAGACATTAAATTCTTATCCAACAAAGTCATCAAACAAATAATGGTAAACAATAAGACAATTTAACCAATGATTAGCCGAAGAAAGCCATTAAAATCTTCTGATCATTGGGGGCCACAGAACTCTGATTCTAAATGTTATACTGTACTGCACACTTATGTTTAGCAGTACGTATTCAGTGATTCATTCTTGCTATGGTAGTACTCAGGGGCTCATTCTTGCTATGGTAGAACTCAGGGGCTCATTCTTGCTATGGTAGTACTCAGGGGCTCATTCTTGCTATGGTAGTACTCAGGGGCTCATTCTTGCTATGGTAGTACTCAGGGGCTCATTCTTGCTATGGTAGTACTCAGGGGCTCATTCTTGCTATGGTAGTACTCAGGGGCTCATTCTTGCTATGGTAGAACCCAGGGGCTCATTCTGCTATGGTAGTACCAGGGGCTCATTCTTGCTATGGTAGAACTCAGGGGCTCATTCTTCATTCTTGCTATGGTAGTACTCAGGGGCTCATTCTTGCTATGGTAGTACTCAGGGCTCCACTTGCTATGGTAGAACTCAGGGGCTCATTCTTGCTATGGTAGTACTCAGGGCTCATTCTGCTATGGTAGTACTCAGGGGCTCATTCCTATGGTAGTACTCAGGGGCCTCATTCTGCTATGGTAGTACTCAGGGCTCATTCTTGCTATGGTAGTACACCATGGGCTCATTCTTGCTATGGTAGTACCAGGGCCTTATTCTTGCTATGGTAGAACCTAGGGGCTCAGGAACCATTGGCCTTGCTATGTAGTAGGGCTCATTCTACTAGTAGGGGCTCATTCTTGCTATGGTAGCACTACTGGGCTCATTCTTACTATGGTAGTACTCAGGGGCTCATTCTTACTATGGTAGTACTCAGGGGCTCATTCTTGCTATGGTAGTACTCAGGGGCTCATTCTTACTATGGTAGTACTCAGGGGCTCATTCTTGCTATGGTAGTACTCAGGGGCTCATTCTTACTATGGTAGTACTCAGGGGCTCATTCTTGCTATGGTAGTACTCAGGGGCTCATTCTTGCTATGGTAGTACTCAGGGGCTCATTCTTGCTATGGTAGTACTCAGTGGTCCATTCTTAACATGGCACAGTTTGTCATTGAAGTCACACAGTTGTGGGCGGAGCTTCTGGGCGACCACGTGGTAGCAATACGGAGGACAATCAAAGCCTTGTTTTCCTTTTACCCTGGACAATAAATTCAAATAACCAGGACTACAACTATTATCTTACTCAATACAGACGCAGAACAAAATACACTAAAATATAACAGCTGTCAGCAAGTGAACTACTGTCTATATTTCAATTGAGATGTTTGTCCTCTGTTCTGATGTTGCTGCAGCACTGTTGCCATATAATATCATTTCTATTTTAGTAATATCGGCAAATGATGAACTGTGCAATACACACAGTACTCACACATAGTTCTCAAGTGTTTTTTTATTTGTCAAATTTACCAAGGTACCTGCATTGAAAGTGCCGAGGTCACACACAGCCAACTTGGAATTTCCTCAGTAAATTCAAACTTGCTCCCAGACCAGACTTAAGAGTTAAAACAAATCTTTTAAGTAGAAGCCTGAAATATTATGACAATCAGTATCACAGCTTATTGTAACTCAATATATTTTTTAACAAACAGTGTAGTACAGAATATGAAATGTTCTATTTTTGTTTTGTTTTATCCTCTTCACCACTGATCGGCTCGCTAGCCGCTTGGGCGGTCGGTCACGTCTCTGTTACGTACTGTTGGCAAGTACTGGGCATGCACTGGCTCCTGAATGTACCTGAACCTGCTCCAGTGTTGGTCAAGTCTGGTCTTGAAAGAGCTCACACTTCTATGATATTTCCGTCGCAAGGTTAGGTTAGGTAAAGTTAGGATGCATATTTCAATGATGAAAAATATGTTTTTTCTCTGTGTTTTGAACGAATTTGACCTTCAAAATTGGTGCAAATCACTCGTTCTTGAGTTTCTCCCCACCCAAAACTCCCAGTTCCCACGAGGGTCCCCCATTATTGATGGTGGTCATAACTCAAAAAAATTTGATTTGCGACAGTTTTGAAGGTCAAATTCATTCAAAACACAGCAAAATACATAGGACAAATATTTTTTAAGTCACTAGAAGATTATAGGACTAGAAGTAACTTTTACCCCCAAAACATAAATTATTCCTTGACACATGAACAAAGTTGGTTTCATTGATACCAGATATCAAAATAATTAATTTATATTTAATATGGAGGGGGTCCACCCCCCAGCTAGGAAGTTAGGTAAGGTTAGATAGGTTTCTCTGGTTGGTTAGGTCAGGTTCTCGATATTATTTTAGTTTCGATCATCCGGGGAATCTTAGGAATTAGGTTAGGTTTGACATCCAACTACCGTATGATTTTCCGGTGGCTTTTGATGTGTTTTGAACGATTTGGACCTTCATATCTGTCAAAAATCACATACCGGTAGTTAGGATATCTAAATACAGGGCTGACCAAAACTAAATTTTACCAAGTTCTATAAGGTTCTAGTAAATGTTGCCTCTTTTAAAATACTTACTATTATGATAAGAACATCTGTGGCAAAGATAAACAAAATCGAACAAGTCCTTCTGGTGGTAATGATGTTCTCATACATCACAAAAACTTGGGTCAATTTGTAGTTTTGACCAACCATGGCTTAAATATACAGGAGCATCCAGGAGGGCGGGGCCCCCGTATAGGGGGTTAGGTAATTTTAGGTCATGTGCGAGGGAAACGTCATAGTAAAAGTGTCATAAAATTGTCTAAACCTTCAGAAAAACACATTGCTCAACTCAAGAGCCATGGTTGGTCAAAACTACAAATTGACCAAAACTTGAAATAACAATAATTTCTCACAAGCAAACAAACTACCCAGAGCAAACCTAACTTAACCAAGCAAATTTAGAATACTGTATATTAAATTTAGGTAAGCTTAAGCAGGTTTGGTTAGGTTTGTTTGGTTAGTTTTATTGGTCTTATTAAAAGAAATACACATTACACTGTACAGTATCAACATCCAGAAGAAAACAAACATTATGTTCTCAGTCACTGTATATCTTTACCAATATTTAGTCATTCAGAAATTGTCAGACATAAACACTTCAACAAACATAACCTGTATACACGCTGACAGTGGTAACCAATATGTCCATTCAAATTCAAGATAACCTAAAAATTGTTGCTTATTGCCACTGAGGTCTACTTGGCCCTCACGTCTGTATATATGTCACTTAAGATGAAAGTTCATTTATCTAGAGCAAAGTTATCACAAAATATCACCGTATTGTAACTTGTTGAAAGGGGCAAAATACAGAAACAGTCACTATTATTACTCCATCATCACTAAAAAACAACCTTCAATGGCTGAACTGGCTCACCTTCAGTCACTCTTCCTCGCTGAGGTAAGTCTTCAGGGCTGCCTCCGTCTGCCATCGCTCGTACCTGGAACTCCGCCATCACTTTATTTAACTACACTATCTCTCTGTCTGCCTCCCAAGACCACAGAGACCAGGAACACCCCTGAGCGGCCGTGCTGGTGACCGTACTGCCGTAGTAGTGTAGTAGGGGGGAGGTGTGTCCCGCCCCTCAACAAAGGAACCAAACATTACCTCACACTCCTTTAGGCGGTGACGTCAGGAATTCAACTTAACTTTCACTCTGGGAATTTCAGCTGCAAATAGGTGCATTTCCGTGTATCAAACAAGACACTTAACACTGTGATAAAAATCGACCGTGTTAGTGGCAAATTTCAAAACGTGGGTCACAGTTTCTTACAGGAGCTCAAGCGGCTAACGAGCCGATCATATACCCTTTCTATATTGAATATTGAAATTTACATTTAAATTGAAGGGTTATTTGCCTTTAAGTTTGTGGGCTTGTTTTAGATATTAAACGTGATAGTTAAACCTGAAATAATTCAAAAAGAGAACTCATTTTCAAATAACACTTTACAATATCTGTGATAAAAGCACACTTGTTTCTAGTACTTGACAAGACACATTTAGCTTATTAATTTCCAGATGCAGGGAGTGTAATGCATAGTTATTACTTCAATTTAACTCCCGATGTCATCGATATCTCGGTTAAGGGTAAGATACATCAAAAGAGCCAGAGATGAAAATCGTCTAGTTTTTTGTGCGACCCCATCTTATGCTGTCGCCTATCCAGTAAGACAGAGAAAGACGTTCTATATTACGCAAACATGATACACACACACGCACACAGGATAGAGAGAGATAGAGCACACCGACCCACCATTATTCGACATCCTTAACCAGTCGCCAACGGAACGAAAAAACTGCATTAATAGAGATCGAATGCGTAAAGGACCTGGGTGTCTATGTTGACAATGAAATGAAGTGCTCGGGCCATTGTGAGAAGGTGAATCAACCAACGAAACCAGTTAAGTAGGTCTTGAGTAAAAAAGTAAAAATAAAAGTATAAGAAGATCGTGCAAAGGAGGGCCACCAGACTGGTGCCTGCATTATGGCACCTCAGCTACCCTAAGAGTATTGAGCGCCTGATATTTCTTTCTTTTTCTTTTATCCTCTTCACCAATTACCGGATCGTTAGCCGCTTGGGCGATCGGTCACGTCTCTGTTATTCACTGGTGGCAAGTACTGGGAATGCACCGGCTCCTGAATGTACCTGAACCTGCTCCAGTGTTGGTCAAGTCTGGTCTTGAAAGAGCTCACACTCGGTGCCGTCACAACACTTTCTGGTAGATTGTTCCAAGAGTTCACAACTCTCACTCCGGAAAAGTTTGCCCTCACAGTTTTTTGGACTTGCGGCTTCTTCAATCTTGAGCTGTAACCCCTTGTGGGGCGAGCGTCCGCCGGCTCCAAGTAAGGACACTCAACTGAGTAGTGCCCCTTGAGATACTTATACACCTCAACTAGGTCCCCCCTTGCCCGTCTGTAGTATAAGCTAGGCAAGTTCAGGCGCTCCAATCTCTCAGGGTAGCTGAGGTGCCGAAGTGCAGGCACCACTCTGGTGGCCTTCCTTTGAACATTTTCAACCAACTGACAGTTGTAATTTCCCTTGTAATATTTGCACCTTGGCCTGGCCTTATCTTGAACTAGGTAACAGTTAAATCTGTAATCCTTTTCTTTTGTATTTTTAATTTCTTTTTACTCTCACTTTTTTTCGACCCAAGGCCCCATTGTGGGTCTGTAGCGTACTGTATGTGGCCAGTTGTCAAATTTCTCTCTGTTTGTCTATCTTCTCTTTGATACGCTCACATACACACGTACACGTAGGAGATCTCGCACTCAGGATGGAGGTAAGTGAAACTCACTTTGGCGTTCTCCGTATGTGCATATATTGTAAGTACAGTGCGGAGCTAGGTAGTTGCTGTGTGGTGCGGAGCTTGTTGAGAGGTCTTGTTGGGTGAGGAGCTTGTTGAGAGGTCTTGTTGGGTGCGGAGCTTGTTGAGAGGTCTTGTTGGGTGCGGAGCTTGTTGAGAGGTCTTGTTGGGTGCGGAGCTTGTTGAGAGGTCTTGTTGGGTGAGGAGCTTGTTGAGAGGTCTTGTTGGGTGAGGAGAGAGAGGTCTTGTTGGGTTGCTTTGAGAGGTCTTGTTGGGTGAGGAGCTTGTTGAGAGGTCTTGTTGGGTGAGGAGCTTGTTGAGAGGTCTTGTTGGGTGAGGAGCTTGTTGAGAGGTCTTGTTGGGTGGGAGCTTGTTGAGAGGTCTTGTTGGGTGAGAGAGGTCTTGCTTGTTGAGAGGGTCTTGTTGGGTGAGGAGCTTGTTGAGAGGTCTTGTTGGGTGAGGAGCTTGTTGAGAGGTCTTGTTGGGTGAGGAGCTTGCTGAGGTCTTGTTAAGGTCTTGTTGTGAGGAGCTTGTTGAGGTCTTGTTGGGTGAGGAGCTTGTTGAGAGGTCTTGTTGGGTGAGGAGCTTGTTGGAGAGGTCTTGTTGGGTGAGCTTGTTGAGGTCTTGTTGGGTGAGGAGCTTGTTGAGAGGTCTTGTTGGGTGAGAGCTTGTTGAGAGGTCTTGTTGGGTGAGGAGCTTGTTGAGGTCTTGTTGGGTGAGGAGCTTGTTGAGAGGTCTTGTTGGGTGAGGAGCTTGTTGAGAGGTCTTGTTGGGTGAGGAGCTTGTTGAGAGGTCTTGTTGGGTGAGGAGCTTGTTGAGAGGTCTTGTTGGGTGAGGAGCTTGTTGAGAGGTCTTGTTGGGTGAGAGAGCTTGTTGAGAGGTCTTGTTGGGTGAGGAGCTTGTTGAGAGGTCTTGTTGGGTGAGGAGCTTGTTGAGAGGTCTTGTTGGGTGCGGAGCTTGTTGAGAGGTCTTGTTGGGTGAGGAGCTTGTTGAGAGGTCTTGTTGGGTGAGGAGCTTGTTGAGAGGTCTTGTTGGGTGAGAAGCTTGTTGAGAGGTCTTGTTGGGTGAGAAGCTTGTTGAGAGGTCTTGTTGGGTGAGGAGCTTGTTGAGATCTCTTGTTGGTTCTGGAGAGTGGAGTAAACTTATGTTCACGGCTAGGCTGAGGCGTATTTATGCGATTCTCCAGGATCAGAGGAGCGAGGTGCGAGATGAGGGGCGCCGATCACCGTGCAGTGCGCTAGTGAGGCTTGGTCTGTGGAATTCGCTGCTCATTGGCTGGTAAGCTGACGGCAAGTGATCAGTCAGCAGTTGTAGGGGAGAGTATCCACTGCAGGTCGATGACCTATGTCCGGGTGAGCTATTCCCCTTAAATACAAAATAAAAAGCAAAACCTAGATCACATTGGAATGTATATGGTTGTTTCCACTGGCATGTTTGCGTTATGCGTTTGTAGTACATGCCAATCGCTCCCTGTAGCGATTGAAAACGCAAACGCACTGCAAACGCGTAATGGAATCCAAGCTTTATCCGCCATCGGAATGTAGATCACAGTTGCGAGGCTTCAAGATTGTTTGCGCGTAATTCAGGGACGCATGCTCATGTTGGAAGGTCTTGTCACTGATCACAGTATTTCACTACTGCTGTCTTCTACCTGATAGTTGAATACAATATATATTAAAATTTGACGCATTTTCAATGACCTGGATCATTAGCTTCTGTTTGAGCAGTATTACAAAATTAAAAACAAAAATATAGAATTTTACACAGAAGCTCTACCCGTTATATGTTTGAAATAATTACTACGATTTTTTAATATTTATTTATTTTTATTTTTATTACAATTTATTACACTTATTTTAATTATTATTCCACTATTGTGTGATTTTGTTGTAAGATATAGTATTTTGTTCAGAAAAGTGTCGGGCCAGACTCCAACAGCGACAGCCGCCATTACAGCTTCACTACAGAGGATTGACGATAACATCAGGGCAAATATATCACTTATTAAGGTAAGATATACCTTCTCTGGTAGTGTTATAGGATCATTTATATATCACTGATGATGTTGTTATGTAAAGTTGACTTAATCTTTGCGTGAGATAAATTTTTTAACGAATTTAGTTTTTTGGTCGAGAAATGGAGCAGCCTGGTTGATGACAAGTCTTGCCTCTTGTTGTGTAATTGTTCCCTCAACTTTGCCAATTAGCTTTGGTTAATATATAGGACTAACCCGCCAGGGCTGCATAGCGCCTGTGTGGCCGTATCATCTCACGCCAGAAATGCCTCAAATTTCACTTTTTTCTTTATCCTTCACTGATCGGCTCGCCAGCCGCTTGGGCGATCCGTCACGTCTCTGTTACTCACTGTTGGCAAGTACCTGTACTATAACTAGTATGCCAAGTGATGTCAGCACAATGTTGATGTTAAGTGTAATCACAGATACCGTAAGGGAATCTGAATTAAACAGCGGGCGGGCGGGCGGGCGGGGTGGTCGTGTAACAAAGCGTGTTGGGCACTCGGGCCTTCGATGTAGAGCGGCAGAAATTGGACAGTGATTACATAAGGTCGTCAAGATCGTCTTAGTGATGTGAAAGTGTAAATCGATGTAGGACTTTTAATGCTAGACACGATTGTATTTTTGAAAACTCAATTTCCACCGAGTTGGAGGTACAGCCAGGGTCACAGGCCTATAACCACACAATCACTGCCACATGACAAAGCTTTTATTTTATTTTATTTTTTAGGGTGTTGTGGTCACGGCTGTGATAAAGGCCAACCAGGGAGTGTAGTACTGTGCCTTCAGTTAAATCACTTCATAGTTGTCATCAGTGAATGCAGAAGAGACTATAAATAACTTAAAGTGAATACATATTGGCACCCAAGCTGGTAAGGACAACTGCCAGCCTATACGTGTCATAGGTGCCACAGAGACTTTACATTTTATTTTGATTGTGTGCTTTCTCAAGGACTGAATCTGTGCCTACAATACACCATTCACAGGGAGATACAGTGTACGCAGTCACAGACGACAACTCTATAGGCAACAGAGAGTAGCTAAGTACTTTTTCTCTCTTTATTTTTTGAAATAGGTGTAGATCTATACACAGTCTGCACCCCCCCCCCCACAACAACAACAACCATGAGTTTGATATGTGATTACTGCAGGGAGACGTCGGATATGGAGGATACAGGCCTGACTAATGCAACGTTTAGGAGGTTACTAACTGCCGTAAAGCATGATGGCTGTTGCTGGTATTGCTCCGGCTGCATAGTCAAGGTGAATGAAGCGATTGCAAGCCATAAGGG